TTGAGACATCCTGGCAGACTGGGCCCTTGATAGTGCTGAAACCAGCGGCTCGCCTGAGACATCCTCGCAAACTGCTCCGAAAGAGAAGGATGTTGGGCACCCAAACAGGCAAGCTGCCTGAGACATCCCCCCGATCTGGGCGCGCACGGACCCGTGATATACCATATTGCGCCCACCCTTGGGAGTATTGAAACCAGCGCCTCGCCTGAGACATCCTGGGAAACTGCTCCGAAAGAGAAGGATGTTGGACACCCGCACAGGCCAACCGCCTGAGACATCCCCCCGATCTGAGCGCGAACGGGCCTGTGACTTCCCCCCTGGCGCCCCACCTTGGGAGTACTGAAACCAGCGCCTCGTCTGAGACATCCTCGGAAACTGCTCCGAAAGAAAAGGATATTGGGCACCCAAACAGGCAAACCGCCTGAGACATCCCCCGAATCTGGGCGCGAACGGGCCTGTGATATACCACCTGGCGCCCCCCCCTGGAATACTGAAACCAGCGCCTCGCCTGAGACATCCTCGGAAACTGATCCGAGAGAGAAGGATGTTGGGCGCCCAAACAGGCACACCGCCTGAGACATCCCCGAATCTGGGCGCCGACGGGCCTGTGATATACCCCCTGGCGCCCCCCCTTGGGAGTACTGAAACCAGCGCCTCGCCTGAGACATCCTCGGAAACTGATCCGAGAGAGAAGGATGTTCTGCGCCCAAACAGGCACACCGCCTGAGACATCCCCGAATCTGGGCGCCAACGGGCCTGTGATATACCCCCTGGCGCCCCCCCTTGGGAGTACTGAAACCAATGCCTCGCCTGAGACATCCTCGGAAACTGCTCTAAAAGAGACCGCCTGAGACATCCCCCGAATCTGGGCGCCAACGGGCCTGTGATATACCGCCTGTTGCCCCCCCTTGGGAGTACTGAAACCAGCGCCTCGCCTGAGGCATCCTCACAACGTGTGTGTGAGCCTGAGCGCGGAAGTACCAGGAGTGTGAGTGAGCCTGCATATGAGAGATCCCTAGCATGAGACGTTTGAGTATCAGGAATCTAAGAGCAAGTGCATCTGAGTATGAGTGAGTCTGAGTATGAGTGAGTATACATGTGGGTGAGTCAGAGAATGATGACCTGAGGGTGTGTGTGTGTGTGAGGTTATCCGCGCGGTCAAAGTAATAACAATAACCCCATCCTTAGGATATATGGGAAATAAGAAGAAGAGGAGGAGGGAGAGGGGGGGAGGAGCGGCAGCAGCGGCCAGCAGCGACGATCATTGGAACCATGTGCCGACATTGCGGTGCAGCCTCTTCGCAAGCGCGTTCCACCTTGAAGACAACGCCGCAAAGTGCGATTGCGCCAACAGCCGTCGCCACATTGGCCGAACCATTGATGCATCCTCAGCCGGCCACTGCCAGCCGTCGTGAGGTTGTTTTTGGAGTTCGGTCTTTCAACATAGCATTCCCTGCCTTCTCATGGTCCCCCTGCACGGCCCTGCAGAGACCGTGCAAAGACCCTTGCAATACCCTCCCTGCTGCATTCAGCAAAGGCCGCCGTTAGACTTCCATGCTGGCTGAGTTCGGGGGGCCGGGCCTGTCATTTGGGGAAGCGCAATGCACGCAGTTGTGAGATCCAGTCGACCTACATGTTTAGCCAAAGCACCCAGTTGTCCCACATCGTAGCCAGGAAAATAATGCAGCTGAGTCGGTGCTTGTTCTTCGCCAGGTCGGTTGCCTGCGTCAAATCAATACCAGAAGTGATTGCCTTTGAAACGCAGTTTAGCATTAACTGTCGGTTGCCAAAGTACTCGCGCCATGAAGCATGACGCATTATACGCAGGGTCGTTTCAGTTATACGAAGGCCCTTTGGGAGTCTTTATGAGCTCTAAAGGGGCTCTATGATGGTGCGTATGACGGCCCAGCGCGGTGTGTATAATGTTCCAGTTTCGAGGTTTGGGCACGACGCATTATACGCATGACCGTTGGTATTATACGCAGGCCCTTTTGGTCGTCTTTTCAAGTCTTTGAGAGGGTCCAAGGTAGCTCCAAGGGGACCCAAGTTTTGATTCGCAAAGCGGTCGAGGCCGAGTCAGTTGACGCTCTGTGGTCGCGTCCCTTCCTCCTCTTCAACAACACGATCGTTCCTTCGTTGATCTTGCTTGGGCCCTTTTTGGAGCCCCCTCGGGCCCCCTCTTGGAGCCTCATGCGGCCATTTGAGCCCATCCTCGGGGCCTCTTGGGGCCTCCTGGGGCTCCTGGCGATGAGATGGCTCGCGCTCGTCCTTCGCGTTCCCCTCCATCCCCTTCTTTTCTAAGCGTAACGGGTGTCACCCCTCTCTCTGCTGCATTGCATGTTGCTACATGTCCCTACTCACGGCAACTCATCTTAGCATTGTCTCTCGGGCGGGTGGTAATGGGGGGTAGCCTGAATGGAGGGGTGTAGAAAGGGCCCAAAAGGGGGCGTCGAGGAGCAGGCATAGGTAGCAGGGGGGGTGGTGGGCACTTCGGGCGGGTGGTAATGGGGGGGTGACCTAAATGGGGGTGTAGAAAGGACAGGGGGCCAAACGCGATCCTAAAGCGCCCTTGCATGGCCGTTTCCTCGACCCCCCAGACAGGTCACCCATCATTACCACCCGCCCGATTCTCTGGATGAGTTGGTGGGGATACGCGCATATGGCGAAATTGTTGTCCACGCCTGCACTGTCCGAGGATATTCCGATGGCGAGCGGCCTTTGACTCCTGCTCCTCCTCGCACGGAGAGGGGGTGGCGGATGACGACAAACACATTGTTTTGGCCAGCTTCTCAGCCCCTTGAGCACGAACTTAGCGCATACGAGGCGTTCCAGGCCTCGCCTTCGAGGGTCGAAGGATTTGCCATCTCTTTCTCGGAGGAGGGCGGCGGCAGTAAAACGAGGCCGCCTCCGCTGACGGAAGCGGGCGGAAGGCGGCGGACGTGAACGATGCGCCCCCCCCCCCCAAGAGTTGATATTTTTTTGGTACAGGGTTTCCAGAATCCGCCATATAGCTTCAGCATGGCCTCGACCGTCTCAAACACATCGAGTTGCTCAGGACCAGCTGCATGTTGCAGCCACCTCTGGACGACCACATGGTCGGAAACGCGGTGTTCAAAGGGCAGCGATCCTGCGCAGAGGGGAGATCAACGAACGTCACAAATATTAGGAGTTAGACTTCTACGGTACTGAAACCTCAAGGCGCCGCGGGCAAACTATGGAGCTTTCGCACAAGAAGCACTTTGACAAATCCAGCAAAGCACGATCGAAACATGGAGGCCTACAGTAAGGGCACCAAACTGGCGGTGGCCCAGATACGCCAACAGCGGGGCCATACAACACTCAATGTCCGAAGTCTGGTTTTGATGGGGCTCAACAGCGTTTCCAGCGCACAGTACGTAGCAAATTCAAGGTCGGTCAGCACTGGGCAGAACGTTACCTTACCATGTTTGTTTGAATTCGGTTGTTTGAATACTCCAGTGTTGGCGAGCGGGCGCGGAGGGATCGCCACCCGCACATTTCCATCATCGGAAGTATGGGTGAACTTTTGGACGCCCTGCTCGGCCGCAAGGAACATGTTCATACCAGAACGTTGTGCTTTCACGTTGCCGAGCAAACACCTATCTCGATCAAGCCACCGCGTACGCCGAGGCTCAATAACAATAGGATCGGTAATGCCACGATCGTCCTCAATGTGCTGGCTCCGAAGCTTGCGCTGATGAGAGGGTGGCATGCTCGCTTTGCGGGTGAGTGTTGCAAACCTTTGTTTCTTCTTCTGCCTTGCGCTCGCCTTCTTGCACCTTTGTGTCTGTCTGCGCTGCTACCTCGGCACAACGCTCTCCCACTTTCGACCCTGCCTCCAGCATCGCCTCCAGCAGCAGGAGGAGGGTCTGCATCGACAAGCGTGCCTGCAAACACAGCGAACATGCTAGAGCCCGACTTGCGCCCAAATGGATGTTTATCCAAGCTGGAGCCATCAATGGTGGATGCGTTCGCTGAGTGGACGTCTGGATGTAAACCTACTGATGCCGCTGTGGGCGAGGCAAGGGGGGGGAGGGGCACAGGGCACGCACGTGGGAGGTAGGGTAGGGGGAGAAGGGAACGAAGACGATCGAACCATGGGGGCTGCTACATTGTATTGATGTGGTGATCAAACATACTCCCTGGCACCCGTCCGGTCTACACATAAAGCGGACCAGCCAAATGATTGAAAGGCTTGTCATTTTTGGCTTCTCAAGTAAATTCGATTGCCTCAGCCTGGGCATCGTGTCTCAACCGTTGGCGGCCCTGTCCAGTCTCCCAATGTAGAAATGAAAAACACCTCCGCCACATTGAAGTTACGTTACTTGCACCCCCTCTGTCCCCGCCCCTTTTCCCCTGCCCCATCCCCTCCCCTCCCCTCCCTCCCTCCCGACGTAACCCCACCCTCTTCCCCCCAAAACCCCATCCCCTCCCCTCTCCTTTCCCTCCCCTTCACCACATCACCTCCCGCGTCCCCCCTCCACCCCATTTCCCTCGCCAGTCCTCCCCTGTCCTCCCTTCCATCTGCAAGCCTTTCCTCTCTGCTCCTCCCCTCCTCTCCATTCCCCCCCCCACCCCCTCCCCCCTGCCCTGCTCTCCCCTCCCCTTGCCCCCCCGAGCAAGGGAGCGAGCGAGCGAGGGGGCGAAGGAAGGAGGAGAAGGAGGAGGTGGAGGAAGACGACGACGACCAGGAGGTTCAAGGGAGCAAGGGTTGGAGGAAGAAGGAGGACGAGAAGGAGGACATGGACGAGGAGGAGGCAGAGGGATGATGTGCATGCACGTGTTTATTAGAAGAAGGTAACGCCATCCCGATGTACGGCGTCAGCGGGAATGAACATCTGAAAGGCAAAAACATATTGCCACGACCGGCCCTAAATTTAAATCCACAAATCTTTCGAGATGTGGCTGATTTTGCGGCCGCGCATGTGGCCATTGCCTTCCCTCGTTTAATTATACGTATGTTGAGTGGCACCGCGTGTCAGGCACTCTGCTCGGGGACTGACATACATTCGGCGACTGCCTTCAACATGTACCCGCACATTCAGCAAGCAGTACAGCGTGGCGAGGTGTCCCTGGACGGCGGCAGCGACGGCTCGCCGCCGCCCCTGAAGAATGTCTTCAGGTCCGAGCGGCGTTCCGGGAAGGCTGTGAATTTCGGAATCGCCTACGGCCTGACTGCGCAGGTTCAGGGCAAAGGGCTTCCTCCCGTACCCCCCACTCTTCGGGGGGCGACCAGGAGGGGGATGACAGCTGGTGGGCGGGTATCATGGATGGGGCCACGATATCTCCCAGATTTCATGGCCCCCTCTTACTATATCAATAGGTCCCCTGGCCCCCCCATGGGCCGCGCACATGCCTCGGGCTATGATTTGCGATCCCCTGTCTTGGACGCCCCCGACCCAGTGCTTGCGTCTGCGCCCTCCTTGAGCGGTGAAGCAGACAGGGAGGCGAGGGCGCGTGTTCTGGGGGCCGGGCTCCAACGCAGGGCTTGGCACGGCAGCTGAACTGCACCCTCGACGAGGGCCAGGAGATGATCGACAAGTGGTACCAGGCGTACCCGGGCGTCCAGCGTTGGCAGGACGACGTGGTGGCCGGGGACGGGGGCCACATAGAAAGCACAACTCGGCCCCTCCTCCTCGTCCTCCTCTTCCTCCTCCTCTTCCTCCTGGAGGGGGGTGGCGGATGCTCGCACGGAGCAGGAGGGGGGGGGGGCGGATGCTCGTCTGGGGCAGCCAGTTTGGGGCGCCGACCTAGCCGATCTGCTCTACGTGGGCCCAGCAGCTGCGTCACTGCCTAGATGCCGACTCTTCAGAGGCCCACAGTAGATAACAATGCCAAGAAACACCCTGCTTGCCTGCATGGTGCCCTTGGGTTCCTTGGGCCTCGATGGTTTTGCTACGGAGAGCGTGACGTTCCCACTCCAAAAATCACGTCCTGGAGTCTCAGGGTTGTGATTCTTGTGGAAGATTTCTTGTGGTTGAGTTCCTCTTGCAGGGCTCCAAAATTGGATCGGAGCAGACGGGGTCGGCCGATCACGCCACATCGCCAATGCATCGGCGATGCGGCTCAATGTGGAGCCCGATTTGTCCCACGCCGGCGTCGCCGATGCATCGCTGGCGTCGTCGATGCATCGGCGACGCGGCGCGATCCTCCGACCCCATCTATTCTGACACCATCTGCTAGGCCTCTGGCGTTGAGCCCCACTCCTGGGGCCCCCCGTGCAGGAGGGTCGATGTGAAGTGCCGACGCCAGGGCCGACCCGCCGCACGTCCTTGAGAACAGGGGGTTGTCGGGCCCCTTGGGGTCAGAGCGGTCGTCTTGATGCAAAGCATGGCAGGGGGGGACACCTCAGAGGTGTTTTGTATTGATCATACTCGTGATGGGTTATGTCTGAGATGTTTGTGTGGGAGGGGATCTACAATTTTTAGTGGCAGGGAAAGGATGGGTCTGGCCCCATGGGAAAGGGTCCAGGGACAAACTTACCCCTGAATCCACTAGCCTCGTTCCGCCCCCCCCCAACAAAAACACGGGGACAATGTATGCAGGGGGCCTGACCTTTCCTCCCCGCCTCGGGGGGGACTAGCCAGGAGGAGGAGGACCAGGAAGAGGGCCCCGTCATCCTCCTCCGTCCCTCCTTCCATCCCGCCCCCTTCTTCCGTCCTGCTCCCCATCTCCCCATCCTCCTTGAATAATACCGTGCTGAAGGACTCCCTACTAAGGGAGATGCTTCAAAGTGCGAAGGCGCTGCCCGCGCTCGACGAGAAGGAAAAGAAGAGCGCAACGCGCCTCTCGAACCAACAGGGGCTCCACAAACCCTTGAATTCACACCTCTCCCACCGTAGGAGGAGGAGGAGGAGGAGGAGGAGGAGGAGGAGGAGGAGGAGGAGGACCAGTGTAAACCCAAGAGTCGTCAACGATGTTGGAATCAACCTTCCCTATAAGCTCCCTCTTCAAACTCCCCTACA